TCGGTTGCAATCTCTGTGTATGTATTTAAACAAGAAAAAACATTTACCTTGATATTTTCACGTAGTCACTGAAGCTCCCCTCTGTGCTGATTTCGTCTGGTTCGAAGTTTGCAGAAAATGCGAGAAGTCCGGGCAAAACTCTTTGGCGCCGTGTGCAAAACTCAGTGATGATGTAGACGGGCTTTTTTTTTTTGTCTTAATCAGTCATGATTACTTGAACAGTTTAAAGCAAATCTACTCAAAATCAAACATAAGCGTATGAGTACTTATTATAAGTGAGTTAGTATATCACATTGTTAGTTTTGAACCGACATAACATAGTTTATAAAAGTAATTTTGACTTTTTAGCTGAACTGAGTAAAAATAACTTAATTCTTTTAGTGAGAAGCACCATTGGGTTTTACAGTGTAGTGATACATTTAAACAATAAGATTTATTTAACTTCACAAAAGTATTCGCTGAACCAGAAATTACTTTGTATGTGCATTTCTACATACTGACAAATAAGCTTATCAATGAAAAATGGATGTATAATGCTTAACTGTAACATTTTAGATGGTGTTATAACACCACTATGAAATAAAAAAAACCTTCAGGCGAAAATATGCCCTCAAAAGGCCGTAAGACATTGAAGCGTTACTAAATAAAGAGATTGAACATCAGATGATATAGTTTACAGACGAATTAAAAACCTTTAGCAGCCTAAAATGTAACTTTTGTATTAACTGGGCTGGTGGGATGAGTAAATTTCAAGCCCTTCTGGAGAAAATAGTACACCAAAAATGACTTACACAGTTTCCTTGGGGAATATTTCATTTGCTTCTTAGGCTTTTCACCAACGGAGACGAGTTCTAAATCTTGTGGCTTGTCCACTAAAGCCTCCTCCACAACCTCTTGCACGTCTTCGACAGCGTCCTGTACCCCCCCATCGCGTGTCTTTTTACCAAAACGAGTCTCCATCTTGCTAAAATTGGCACAAAAAAAGAACACAAGCAGCATGTGACATCAGTCAAGTTGCTTTAGTAAAACACACAAAACGTAACTTTGACCTGGTAGTTTGTTTGCTAGATTTAAATTTGAGAAAAAAATATAAATGCCAGAATTTCTAGAATGTGTACAACATTAATGACTAATGTTCCAGATAAAGAGTTAGTTGAATTTAGCTAACGTTAACTGAAAGCTAGCTGAAATCAACTTTACATGGAACAAAAACTGTTTTTTCTTAAAAAATGTAATTCAATATTAAGCATAAGCTGACCTTTTATATATATATGGGGAGTTACCTCTATTCCCTTTTACACCGCAAGTAAAATATGGTCTGGTCCAGTCGTTTCTTCTAGCTTACATTAGGCAGGCACACAAGACGAAGGTGGTGTTCGTCTTCGTGGAGTTTTTTTTTTTTGGCGGTTTGCAAAAAAACACCATATGAGCACTACCGCCATCTACCGACATGGAGTGGGGTACAGAATGATTATCAATTAATTCTATTAAATTTCTTGCTATCCTCAAATTTCATTACCCACCTTTGTTGCCTTTAAAAAAATGTAATCATATTATGATAATTTTACTGTCTTAACCCTCCTGTTATGTTCATTTCTTAGGAACAACAATGCTGTTCCCGGGTCAGTTTGACCCGGTGCATGTTTAATCATCCAAAAGATGTCTGAAACCAAAAAAATCCCAATAAGCATTGTTAATATTTCATTGCTAACTCCATTACTAACTATTCTATGTATATTTAGTGCAATAGTGTTCCTTACCTCTAACAGGTAATGATCCAATTATGATAATTCACTAGTTAAAAAAAAAAAAACCTGTATGTTCAAACTTTTTTTAATGTTTCACCACTTTATTACTTTTGAAAAACCAACATATAAAACACAATAGTTTTACACAACATTGAAACTTAACATTTAAATTTTGCTTTACATACATGCACTGTTTGTGAACCAGAAATGAACAAAGTCGCAATACAACAATACAACAAACAAGCAATTGCAATATGAACAAGGTGTATGTGCATGTGTGTCTGTCTGTCTGTACATTTACACAGCACACGAGTGACATGTCATCGCACTGTGCTTTGTGCAAATGATTTTTGCACATTTAGCGCAGGTCATGCTTGTCTTGACATCGTCAGATGGCCTGCAGAACTGGCACCTCTTCCTCTTTCTTTTCCCCTCAGCAGCAACCTATAAACAAGAGGACCATGATTACTTTACTATGGTGTCTTTTTGCTGATCCCAAGACACACACTCTCATACACTTATACAAACACACCCACAGCCACACACACCCACTTACTTACTTACTTACCTCACGCATTGGTGTACTTGATGCAGTCCTCTCGTGGATCTCCCTCACCATGGCTGCAGAGGCGAGGGTCCTTGGCAGGTGCTGCCTCCGTTGGATGTTCGTTGTCACAAGCGCCTTCCCCAGCTCCTCGAGAAAGATGCGCCTCTTGTACAGCTTTGACACATTCCAGTCAGGAAACATCTCCGTCCAGATGATAAATGCATTGCAGGCTCCGTTTGGTGCTGTAGGACCTTGTCCCTTTGTCAAAGTTGTCTACCCCCCCTTTGGTGGCATTGTAATCAAGGATCATGCTTGGTTTCTGGTCCTCTCTTGTGCTAATTTCAGCAGTTTTGTGCAGAGTGCTCATGAGCACAACATTTTTTGCCTTTTTGGGGCAGTAAGACACTAGGGCTGTGGTGTCTGTCTAGGCAAACATGGAAGATTGAGCGGCCCTGTCCTTGATTACCAGCAGCTCAGCAGGGAGTTCAGCCCTGTTCTTTTGGACAGTTCCGACCATTGTGAGCTTTCTCTTTAGAAGCTCCTGACCCAAGTTGTACTTTGTGAAAAAAATTGTCGCAGGTTATGTTCTGTTCCCTGAAACCCTGTGCCATGTCAAGCACGACCCTTCTGCTCTGATTCTTCTCTGTGGCTCCTCCACCGGCTTTCCAGTGTAAACCTGCATGTTCAATACATAGCTGGTGTTTGCATCACACGCTGCACAGATTTTTATCCCATATTTAGCTGGTTTGGAAGGCATGTATTGCCTAAATGGGCAGCGACCTCTGAATGCCACCAGCCTTTCATCCACTGTGACATTAGGGCCTGGGTTATAGAGTAGTGGAAGTTGCTCTACCTAGTTGTCCAACACTGTCCTAACAGCTGCCAGCTTGTCTCTCTCCCGTCTACCAGCCCTTGTCTCTTGATTATCAAATTTTTGTGTGTGCGTGTGTGTGTGGTGTGGGGGGTGGGTGTGTGTGAGATTGGGGTGAAACATTTCTCACAGTTGCAAAGAAATAAATAGTCTGACATTTCTGACACCCTTTTACCTCCAGTTTGACTGCTGGGTCAAATTTACCCGAACAGTATCTATGTGATATAAACATGCAGGGGGTGGTTGCAAATATGTGAGATGAACCATTTTCACATTATATGTTGATTACACTATTTAAGGCAAGCAGAAGAAGTTTCATTCTGAAAAAAATACTTTTAACTATATTTCTTAGATCTTCAAACTTTAAAATGGGTCAATTTGACCCGTAACATAACAGGAGGGTTAATCTTTCAGCAATATAATTATTACATTATTTTTTTCTTTAATCTTTCCAAGGTCTTCTATCATCTATCTTCTTTCTTTTTCATATCTCCCACATGCTAATATTACAATATCTACACAATGTTCACATCTTCCCATATTGTTTATTTCTTAAAATGAATATATGCAATATACAATTAAGTCCTGTGTGACCAAACGTTAATTATTTATTAATTTATCCTCCCTCCTGTTTCTCTGTCCTATTCTCATTTCTCTTGATTGTATCATATTGAATCATATAATACAATCTACTCTTTTTTGCTTCTTTTCATTAATTTTGTCACTTTTTATTTATTTATTTGTTTAACTACACTTCTCGCCTCTGATTTTATTGTAAATACACAAATTAATTTTCCTTTGTTGTTGCCATTTTGGCCTTCAATGGCTGCTGGTACCCATTAAAAAAATTAATAATTCCATCATCTGAATTCTGAACAACGCATGCTATATTTCAACTAAAATGTCTTGTCTGCTTTCAGAGTGACTTTGCTTTAAATGTATAAGTGCAGAACTTGAATCCAAACTTACCAATGCTTTTAATGGTTTTAGGACTCTATCCACTGTAATGCTAATAGAATGGATAAAAATTCTCCCGTGTATACCGATAGTCCCTTATTGATTTGATTTCTGTGCACTTTTGGTACAACACTTGCTTTTCTTATGTTGCTATCAGAGTTTTTTTTATGTATCTGTCAATATCTTTACATATTAAGAAAAACTATTTACTGTATGTATTCCTGCAGTATATATGAATTGAATATGACTTATTTTTCCTTTTTATCTTTATTCATTTATTTTTGGTTCATAAATGCTAAATCTACTTTTGTATCTGTTAAAATCCATAGTGAAATCTGTGTTAATGTTACTATTGAATTTATGTTTTCGTTACTTATTTGTGTTCTTTTAACTTCTTATTGATTATCCAACCGCACTTTATGTCTTTTTCCCAGCATGGTTTTAGAGTCTCTAATGTTGTTTCATCTGGATGACTGCTAAGTATATACAATAATTTACCATTTGAGTTGTTCTTAATTGTAAATGCATTTTTCCTATCAATACTTTAAAAGGTTTTGTTGGTGTTGTTTTAAATATTCCTTTACATAATTGTAACGCTAAATGTTGAATATTGTCTAATTCTTTCCAATGTGTCGTTTGTCTGTATTGCTAACATAAACAGGTGGGGTCGCTTTTCTGTCTGGCAACGTAAAAGAGCGCCCAGAAGTTTCTTGGGGTCCTAACCCAAAATACCGGGCTGAAAAAAAAAATACCGGGCTGAATGATCGCAGGCTGTAGAAATGACAAGATTGTTACGCGGACTTCTTAAAAATATTACGCGTCCTGATACAAAGAAAAACAAAAGACGAATAGTGAAATGGATGCAGAGATGTGGTATTTCTGAAGAGGATGATGAATTGTGCAAAATGCCATCGAAGAATGAAACTTTTAAAATGCGATCGCAACGATGGGCTGCGTTGGTAAGCAGAAGCTTTGATCTAACGTTATATACGTAACTGTAAACTTAGCAATTAGCTAGTTGGTACAAATTTTGTAATACAGCTTAAAAGGAATAGTGCAAAACAAACTGTATGGGCAGTGCTCTAGCAAAGTTAACTTGGCTTTCTCGTACAGCAAAACGTTAGCTGTTATGTAACCTTGATCCAGGTTTTTCCTTTTTTTCTCCCATCAGGGTATGTAAGCATCACAAAAGCAACCCATTGTCAGTGCGTAATGGGTCCATATTCACAAAGTCTCACACCCCTTTGGCAAAATGGCTTGAGTTCATGTTAAGGTACAGTTTACATATTAAAAATAAAATGTATATTCATTTTTGTAAGTCTTAAGTCAATAGCAGGCCATGTCTTTATCATTAAGATAGTACAATTCCATTTCGCTTATGTTACTTAATGTCTTTTTCTTCAGGTTTTCACAAGGTTTGCAACTGAAACAACTAACCATGATCTCAGAGGGAATAGCAGCAAGTTCCAAGACACTCACAAGAATGACAACAATTCTAAGAAAGGTTTTTGCATTATTATTATCTGTTACCGTTATTCATTTGCTGTTAAAAAAATCTAATTTAATTGTTTGAAGTCAAAATGTATAGTTGAATTCAATAGTACTACACATTTATTTAGTTCACTTAGCGCTTAGTGATATGGCTTAAAAATAAAATCTGTGATACATTTTAATAGATTTTTTTCCTTAAAAATTAGATAAAACTAGGAAATCAGTCACATAATTTATCTGACAAAAAAACATTGTTACGTCCACCTGGCTTGTTAGGTGGGGTAACATTAATGGAGACCACACAAGGATTTTTAGAGTTAATGAAAAAGGAAATTTATTAAATTATATTAAGTAAAACCTGAAAAAAGGATTACCTGAAATAAGAAACCAAAACAGATAATACAGAACCATAACCAATTAGAAATAAACAAACGCAACACAAACCTAACAAAACTCAATCATAAGGTACAAACCAAACCAACTGGGTTCTGAAGAGGGAGAGGAGGAAAAAAGCCTCCTGACTGCTGCAGCATGACAGCTTTTAAGCAGCAGAGCACCAATCAGGGGAAAAATCATAACACCTGCAGAAGGCCTGCCTCCAGGACCCTGAAGGAAAAAGCAGAGACCCCCTGCAGCCGTAACACCTCCCCCCTTAAAACAGAGGACCCCAACAGGGACCTCTGTAACCATCTCAGCTTTTTGGTCAAACCATGGTTTAATTTTTCTCTGAGTCTTTTTAAGATTCTCAGAGGCTAGTTTGCCAGCCAAGTTCAGAGCATAGGCTGCAGGATAACAAGTGCTTCTACACATAACTGTTAGCAAATACACAGATCCTAACTTTGAAGGAATCAGTGGGCCAACACAATCCACGATAAAGTGTTCAAAAGGTTTACCAGCAGCCGGTATGAGAAAAAGTGAAGCTGGTTTCAAGGTCTGATTAGGTTTCCCAGTTAACTGGCAAGTGTGACAAGTTTTCACAAAATAAGCGACATCTTTTTCCAGACGTGGCCAAAGAAAACGTTGTAAAACTCGATTATAAGTTTTATTGACCCCTAAATGTCCAGACAATCCTCCATGAGCAGTTTTCAAAACAAGGTTTCTGAACTTGACTGGAACAACAACTTGATAAACTGGACCAACAATTTCCCGTACACTATAAGGCAACCATTTACGTACCAACAGATCTTTTTGTAGAATATATCCACTTGACACTTTTGTGTCCTGTTCAGCTGCCTGGACTTGGTCAAACAGAGCCGCTAAGGTTGTGTCCTCCTGCTGGGCTGCAATCAACTCACTGAGTGACAAAGGAACAGGAAGAGTTGGCAAACAGGCAGTCTTCTCAAGAACAGAACCAGGCTTACCAAACTCAACCTCCTTATCAGCCACAGTTACTGCACAAGCTGGAAAAGCCTCAGGAAAGTCTCGAGCACATACGTCTGACAAAGAAACGGATGGACAAGCTCGGACCACTGGAGGGGGTGCAACATCTCGCCACACACGTCCACCTGCCAGATTGTTTCCTAGAATGAGAGATACACCTTCCACAGGCAAGGAAGGACGAAGAGCTATAGTTACCTCTCCTTGTACAAGTTCTGACTGCAAGTAGATCTTATGAAGAGGCACAGAGAAAGTTTCCAACCCAATACCTCTAATTAAGACACTACAACCAGTATCAGATAAAGGAGAAAATGGCAAAACAGATTCCAATATGAAAGATTCAGATGCTCCGGTGTCACGTAGAATCTTCACAGCCACTTTATTTGAACTGCCACTCAAAGAAACAAACCCATTTGTGATGAAAGGTGCATAGTCCTGTCCGACATCCTTCTCACAAATCTGGGGATCTGTAACAGTCAGTTCTGAAAAAAACTTATAGTCAACAGGTACAGCTAAAACAGTTGGTCTTACACTTTCAACTTTAGCTGGATGTGTAGACTCCACTGAATGCAACTGTGAAACGCTGGCTAAAGCAACAGGTTTTTGATCATCTCGTTTACTCCTAGCCGATTTCATTTTGGTATTCAGAGAACACTCATTTTTCCAGTGTCCTTTCTGGCGACAATAGTTACAAACAGAGTCTGCTTTAGATTCCACTCCAGTCTTATCAGAGAACCAATCATGATGAGATTCCTGAAAGCTATAGCTGCCTTCCCAATTGTAATCCCTCACAGTTTTATGGGTCAGAACATACTCATCTGCCAAGACAGCAGCTTTAGCAGCAGTTTTTACCTTTTGCTTGTTAACATATGTGGCAACCCGAGCTGGAATAATGGTCTTGAACTGTTCCAACACCATCAAATCACAAAGGGATTCAAAGTCCTTCACACTTTCAGCTGATAACCAACGATAAAACATCTTCTTATTCTAGGCGTGCAACTGCACGCTTTGATTTTTGTTGACAACAACTATGCCTGGCTTAACATACGTCACACACTCCGTTGCTCTTATTGGTTGTAGGTCTATCCAATTGAGTGCAGAGGCATTTTTTTTCCTGGTTCGTTCAAAACACGCCCCATAATCACAGCTCTATGGAGCAGTATCAGACTCATATTCTGACTAGAATTGAGTAGGACTACGTCAGGCTAGTGAAGAAGGGTCTTCCAGACAAATGTTCCCTTTGGCCAACACATGTATAAACTGCTTAAAACTCCCACTTGTGACTTCTTATGAAGTGTTTAAGGAAAACATGGACTTTGCCATTGCGAACACCCAAGGATTTGGGAAAACATAAGTTTTTTTTGTTGGAGTTATTACAGTTCTCACATTAAAGTTGACACTGGTTTACTACACTTGCTAAGGCCGGTCCAGTTTAGCAAGTTGATTTTCTTAAAAAGTAATTGTACAATGGGCACTGGCAGAGAGCAGAGATTGGCTTAAAATAAAAACAAGCAGTTTTAAGTTGATTGAAATCATATTGTCATTTCCATCTATTTTGTGGAAAATTGTTTTTTTTTTCCCCTTTTTCAAAATTTGTTTGTTAAATCCATTTTCCTGCCACCCACTCGCTATTACATGGAAACTGGTTACTTAAATTGAATCTTAAAAGCAGCCATTTGTTTTTGTTTAATGGTTCAGCTTTTATTTTTGTACTCTTCTAGTTTTGAAAGGTTTAAAATTACCTCAAACCAGCCTGTTTCATACACTTTCTTGTTAGATGTTTTACCATCTCTTTTCCAATGGCTTACTATTAAATTTGGTGGTCTTTACACCAGTGTTTGTATCCCGTCTTTGTACTTCTCATTTTGAAAATGTATTCCTTGCAGAATCTAAATACTGATACTACGAAGTCATGTATTGTCAGTACAGTTTATTTCAGATCTACATACAAATCTAATCTTTAAATAAAATACATAGCATGATGTGATTGTGAACTAACACAAAGTAACAGAGCAAATGAGATATGTCTTATTTGATGCCATTTCAGAAAATACATTTTACATTAACACAAACCTTTGCAAAACAAGTTGTACTTTTGAATGTTAATGCATGTGTTGCATGAAAATCATTAGCTGGCACCATCAAAATCACAGGTCTCGTTGCGCTTGTAAAACTAAGTAGCCAAACAGTGGGCTTTTCAGTAAACATGCCTGCTGAACATTCAGGGACTGCAGAGCCGTGTTAAATTAAACTTTGATGTTTTTCATAACTTATATCATCCACTTGTAGTTTAGTACAGGTTTAGTAAACAATATAGCATCTGGGTTAATTAGAAGAACAAAATCGTTTTTAAAACGTTCAGTCTTTATTTTCACTTTCAACACACAATGAAAACAAAATTCTGAATATTAAAACTGATGTTGTTCAACAAAAGTCAATACAGAGCAGAATAAATCAATGCAATAGTTTCCATCATTTTGCAGAGGATCAAAAGTGTGGTACATCAAATTGACTGTTGTGGCATTTATGCCAACAGCAATATCTGGTATGACAATATTATTGTTGGTCTGAATATCAGGTAAAGGCCCCTCATAATCAACTCCAAAATGTCCATCTTCCTCAAAGATAGATTCTATAGCCACATTCTGTTGTGCCATGTTGTTTATGACACCTGTGTGCCATAACTGAAGTGGAGTCTGCCATTATTCCACTGGTTTTGGAACTCTGTTGTGGCTCTCTCAATTCTTGGCATATATACAAAATGAAGGCAAAATAGATGCATTTCATTTAAAGAGTCAAGGATGCCATGTTGTTCCATGAAATTAAATACATTTATGAAATGATTCGAGACAACTCTGTTAAGCTCTGCCCACAACCTTTCAATGCGCTGATTATGTACTAATAAGCCAGCAATGACACTATGTCTGTTCAGCCCCCTCCTTTCCAACATAAACGAGCCACAAGTGTGTTTTCCATTCCATGATCACACCTTACTCTTGAAGGCAAACCAAAATTATTCACTCCCATTAAAAACAGGGACAATACAGTGGATGCTCTATTGTTGTTAGTGCATCTTAAGTATATTATAGTTCTACTAAAACTGTCCACACAGCCATGAAAAACCATCCGCCACCTCACCAGTCTATGGTTACCATCAAAATGCCTGTCGAAAGAAAATCAAAAGTAAACAAGTGCAATATAAAACAAATGAGTATTAATTTGGTAAAAAGATGAAAAACGTAGGGTACTAATTGCATAAAGTTAAAAGGCTTTAAAGAAAGCATAAGTATTCTGAGTTATTACTCACAGTATTTCTGATTTAACTGCCCTTAATCACAAAAAAAAAGATAGCCAAAGGATAGCCAAACCCCATTCAGATTCTTACTGCTTTTAGACATGGGTATCTTTCAAGACATTTGAGCCTAGATTAAACCAAGTAGTAAGCCGATTATGATGAGCCTATTAGTGGGGGTTAAGTATTAAAGAAATCTTGATATTGTGGAGGTATTCCACATAACCGTTCTTAAATTGTTGTATAAAATAAATATCTATTAAGAATCTGTTCATTGGCTGGAAATGTATTTTATTTAAAATGTCACCCCAAAAGTTTTTTTGCTGTTAAACTGTATGAACTGGGCCTAAAAGTGCTACTTTTTGCAATTTATGTTAAAACCATCATAATGATGCCCTCTTATGATTAAATGTTAAATGGCTTGTACTTGTATAGCGCTTTTAACTAGTCTGTGACGACCTCCAAAGCGCTTTACACTACAGTTTTGTCATTCACCCATTCACACTCTAATGGTGGTGAGCTATGCTAATAGCTACAGCTGCCCTGGGGCTGACTAACAGAGGCAAGGCTGCCATGCCCCGGCGCCACCGGGCCCTCTGACAGGCAATGTGGGTGAAGGGTCTTGCCCAAGGACACAACGACAGAGACAGCCAGAGTGGGGGATTGAACAGGCAACCCGCCAATTGCTGGACAAACTTCCAAACCTCTGCGTCACCGTCGTAAATAATGGGTGTTGCAGTTGAATTTTCCTATTTTTCACCATCCATCTGGCCTTACCAGTTATGTGGGGAACCATTTGGCACCATTTACAATTAGTGCAGCCATCTTTGTTTTTTTTTTGTTTTTGTTTTTTTACATCAGGCATCAACATAGCATTTTAACCAGGGCCCCGTTCTTCGTGCGTTGCTTAAAACATCCAAGATGAAATGAGACATCAAAGATAATTTCATCCTGCTAATCATGATCCAACTAATTGGGTTCTTCGAACACACCTGTTGTTTATGATTAGTATGGCTGGATTGAGTTATCTGAGATAACTGCACGTTCATGCAACGGTTTAAAAGGGGAAATGTGTCGATAGTAGGAACAATAATCAGCAAAGCTGGCATTGGCTGTTCAGTGTTGTCTGCAGGACATTTTCATGTCTTCTGGGGATGTACTAAGATCGCACCCTACTGGTCAGGAATGATAAAAGATTCATCGGAACTTGAAACCAACAGTAATTTAATGCCTTTTTTACTTTTTTGTGATTATTATTCAACTGCTCCTGTCAAACGAGTTGCTCTGTAATTTTTGTTGGAGGGGGGTCCAATTGTTCAATGTATGTGTGCGTATTTCTAAAACCAGAAGAGAGGGCTGGCAAAAAGCAGCAGACAAATCAAATGCGTAAGTGCTGTCTATGGTATGTTTCTATGCATTTCTACAGTATGTATTTTTGAACTTTAATACTTTCATATTTACTTTGTTCTTTTATGTCAGAGCCTCCATGGGACCCAATAGAACATGGGTAGAAATAGAAGTAAAATACAAGAATATTCTACAAATTGGTAGCCTTTAATTAATACTTTATTTTAAAAAGCCACTTTGTCCTCTTTTTAAAAGCTGCTGTTAAATGATGCATTTGTCTGTTTATAACAGCCACCAAGAAAAATCTCTCTGCAATTACACTGCCGTGCTGCGCTAAAGAATCCTGTCTTTTGCGCAATACACATTTCGAAAATCCCTGCAAATTATTCTTGCACCTTCCGCAACATGTTGCTGTTGTAAAAATGGAAAGACATGGCTATGACAGACTTCCCTATCTCCTCCGCTTATAAAGCTGTGATCTAATCTTGTTTACATTAAATAAGTCTGCTCGCCAGCAGGTTTAAGCTTGCGCACATGTTGCTATGACAGCAAGTCCATGATGAGTGTTGAAGAACTGAACAATCCAAGATCATGCCAAATCGTCAACAATCAAATCCAGCTAACCGAGTTAGCGACGTACGAAGAACGGGCCCCCTGAACCATTTTGATCAGTTGCTTTGTCATTTTTTTTTTCACATTTATAATCAAAATATTGAGGTTCTGTAGTTAACATCTGACAGATTAGTTGTTTGGCAATTCATTGTTTCATGTCAGATTACCCCAATAGAAGGCACCAAAACCCATTTTTTTATTTTTAAGCTTGATTTTAACTTCAAGTAGTTTTGACCATGTCTAAACAAGCAACATGTAGTCTACAGCAAGACCTTTAGCAAACTATTTATGAATATTATTATTTTTTTATTGTTGCCTTACCATAACTGAGTTGAAGTCTGAACATTATACACCCGTCGTTGTATGGTATGCCTCCTGCGAAATGATTGGCCAATTGGATCAAGCTCCTGTTTAAAATTAAAATATTATTAGTGAACATAAGGACAGGCTGATACTGGTAAAAATATTTTTTCTTTCACTCCACATGCCTGTAGACAATTTCTGACACGCCAACGCTGAACACGTATTTCTCTTGATGCAAGGCTCCCAAGCACATAAGTTTCACCAGCAGTCCTTTGCAGAATTTCAGTCACAATTCTAGATAATTCTTGGTCTGTCAGCGCAGTGTATTGTAAGGGTGGGATTCCCAAGTGTTGTCTATGTCTGTACAGAGTTCAACGGTTAATACCAAAGACAGAGGCAATCTTCTGCCAGTTCATTTCTATCGAAATGCAGTGAGAAATTTGCAGTGATGTGATATCATATCTGGGACGGCCTGGAAAACCAGTCCACATTGTTGGTGGAGGCAGACATCTAGCGGTTAAGTCATGAGATCTTGACATAGCATCATATTCTTCTAAAATTGATTGAAAACATCTATACAAGTCTTCAAACATTGTTTTATATGCATGGTATCTTGGTTCATTAAACTGTGACACTGACAGGATAGAAGATAAAGTCTGAGTATGATCAGCAAGTTCTCTGTACAGTCTATCCTGGCTATTTATGTCAGCTGTTCTTTCCCTTTGTAATAGTTCGATACAATGTAGCATTTCCCTAATAAAACGTTGAACATAAGCTTCATAGTCTCCCCATGTTAATGA